GAGACAGAGTCTAAAGTTGTCACCCCGTGTCATTGCTCACAGCAACCTCTAAACTCTTGGGCTTAAGTGATTCTCTTGCCTCAGCTTCCGAGGTAGCTGGGACTATAGGTGCCCACCACAACGCTCGGCCATTTTGTTGTTGCTGGAGTTATCATTGTTGTTTAGCTGGCCTCGGCCAGGTTCGAACCCACCAGCCTTGGTATATGTAGCCAGCACTCTGCCAGCTGAGCTGTGGGTGCCACCCAAAGTTTTCTAATTATGAAGCTATCTAGTGGCTTTATGCTGAAGCTGCTTTTCCTAAAGTAAGACCTATGGCTAGAACATAGAAGAGAAGTCATAGAAAGCCTAGCTCATGCCTTTGATAGAAAGGTCTAGCTTCTCTACTTTTGAATACTGATTGATATGTATAGCAAAACTCTGCAGTAGAAGAGTTTAAACATCTCATAGTCTGTATACTCAAACTCATATTTCATAAAGGTGGCCATGGTTAGTTTTTCTTTAAATAGATCTAATATGTGGTGTATAGTACCATATTTTGCCATGGAAAATGTGTTCCAATGTGTAGTAAGCACTTGAATTTTTGGCCCAAACTTTCAGGATGACACCCTTTGAGAAAGTGTCTCTCTTGCCAGGAGAGACACATCTGGAGAGGGCTCCCATGGTAATTATGTAGATCACACTGCCCTCCAGCAGCCTCCCATGCTGTGTAGGCTGCCACTTTCCTCTCTTCTGGGAACCCTTCCCTGCCTGCCGTATTGGAGGCCCTGGCCAGTGTGGCCACACATGGCTAGTAGGGCAGGAGCTTCTGAGGTTGCTTGACGCACAGGTACCCAAGTGGGTCCCTAGGGCCTGTGCAGGGCTCTCGATCCCATCCACATGGCTGGGCCTTCGGCCTTAGGCCTCAGCTCTCTCCCCACAGAGCTGTGGCCCATTTTGCCAGCCCAGGTCCTGCCCCCTCCCTGGATTGTAGCAGAGGCTGTTCCCACTGGATCTTGTATCCTGGAACCCATTGTGCTCAGCATACTCAGGTGGGAGGACACTGCAGCTCCAAAAGGCCTACCAGGATTCTTTGCTTCTGTGCTATAATACCTATGTATAATCACATTCTTATTTTTCCCCAAAAGAATTTGGGCAAAAAGTATGCATTATACATGGCAAGATACTCCACTTTGAATTCTGAATTTTTATACTTAGAAAAAGGCTTTCTAGGCTCAGCGCCTATAGCTTAGTGGCCAGGATGCTAGTCATACATTAGAGCTGGCAGGTTCAAACCCAGCCTGGGCCTGCCAAACAACAGTGACAACTACAACAAAAAAATAGCTGGGCGTTGTGGTGGGCGCTTGTCATCCCAGCTACATGGGAGGCTGAGGCAAAAGAATCGCTTAAACCCAAGAGTTAGAGGTTGCTGTGAGCTATGACCACGGTACTCTACCAAGGGCAACATATGAGACTCTGTCTCAAAAAAAAAAAAAAAAAAAAGACTTTTTAGAATAATTATTGCATCCAGAATATTATGTTGATAAGATGTAAAGCACTCTACCAAGGGCAACATAGTGAGATTCTATCTCAAAAAAAAAAGACTTTCTAGAATAATTATTGCATGCAGAATATTATGTTGATAAGATGTAAAGCACACTGCCCATTTTTCTTTTCCTTTAGGTTTTATGGGAATTGGAAACCTCACGTCTGGTAAATCACTTTGAAAAATCCATGAAGGCAGAAATTGGCGATGATGATGAATTATATATAGTAGACAATAATGGAGAGGCACAGTTGTTTGACTTTACTGGCCAAGACTTTGAAAATAAGCTTCGAGTTCCTCTTCTTGAAATACTCAAATATCCATACCTGCTTCTACATGAACGTGTTAGTGAGTATCTGGGGTATTCCTCAAGTTATATCAATTTTATTATTTTAAATTTGAGTGCTAAACATATTATTAAGATACTTAGGCCAGGTTCAGTGGCTCATGCCTCTAAATCTAGCGTTCTGGGAAGCCAAGATGGGTGAATTGCCTGAGCTTTTGGGTTTGAGACTAGCCTGATCAAGAGCAAGACCCTGGGCTCGGTGCCTGTGGCTCAAGTGGCTAAGGCGCCAGCCATGTACACCCAAGGTGGCGGGTTTGAATCCAGCCGGGCCCGCCAGACAACAATGATAGCTGCAACCAAAAAATAGCCGGGCGTTGTGGCGTGTGCCTGTGGTCCCAGCTACTTGGGAGGCTGAGGCAAGAGACTCGCTTGAGCCCAGGAGTTGGAGGTTGCTGTGAGCTGTGATGCCAGGGCACTCTACCCAGGGGGACAGCTTGAGGCTCTGTCTCAAAAAAAAAGAAAAGAAAACCATATGTACAACCATATAGATTCTATAGTTGTTAACATTCTTGTAATATATTTATAGCAGGATTCTTAGCCTTTCTACTGTTGACTTTTTGGATTGATAATTGTTGTGGGGGCCTGTGCTGTCCATTGTAGGATGTTTAGCAGTATCTCTGGCCTCTATCCACTCGATGCCATTAGCACCACTCCACCAGTCTTTCCCCACCTCCTTTTTCCCCACCTCCTTTGTGACAGCCAAAAATGTTTCCAGACCTGGTCCCTTGAGGGAGGAGGGTGTATAAAAGAACCCCAGTCCGCAGTAATTTTCACTAGTCACTACAGCGTGGCAGATTTTTGGTTGTTTATATTTGCATTTCTTTTTTTTTTTTTGAGACAATAGTCTCACTCTGTTACCTTTAGTAGAGTGCTGTGGCATCACAGCTCACAGCAACCACCAGCTCGTGGGCTTAAGCCATTCTCTTGCCTCAGCCTCCTGAGTAGCTGGGACTACAGGCACCCATCAAATGCCCAGCCATTTTTTGTTGCAGTTTCCACTGCTGTTTTTTTTTTTTTTTTTTCTTTTACTTGGCCAGGCCCAGGTTTGAATCTGCCACCCTGGGTATATGGGGCCAGCACCCTACCCACTGAACCACAGGCGCCACCCTATATTTGCATGTCTTAATATGGTTCTCTTAAAAGTATTTTCTTAGTCTTATCAAATCTAATACCTGTAAGGTATCTAAGCTTCAGTCCATATTCAGATTTTTCTAGTAGTTGCAAAATGTATTTTTGGCTAATTTGTTTAGAGTTCAGTTGGGGGCCACGTATTGTATTTGGTTCATAGTTCTTTCATCTCTAGTTGATCCTTGAAGAATACAGATTTAAACTATTCAAGTTCAATTATATTGGGGTCTTTTTTTGACCAAATTTGGATCAAAAATACAGGATTTGTGGGACATAAAACCCGCAAATATGGAGAGCCAACTTTTTGTATATGCAAGTTAACTGCAGGACTTGAATATGTGTGGATTTTAGTATATAGGAGTTGTCCTGGAATCAGTCCCCCATGTATTTGAAGGGACAGCTGTATTCTTACACACGAAATCACATGATGTTTTTTCTTGTCATGAATTTGACTTGTTGAGACCTGTGTAGAGTTGCCCTATAGAATAATGCACTTTACAGATTTTTCTGATTTCCTTCTTATGATGTTATTTAACTTCTCTATCCTCTGTATTTTTAGTAAATTGAAAAGTAAATAAAGATAAAGTAATTCTTACTAAATCAGAAGTGTTTGATTTTTTGGCTTCTCTGGGCCATATTGGAAGATTATTATTATCTTGGGCCACCCATTAGATACACAAACACTAATGAAAGCTGATGAGCAAAAAAAAGACCTGTGTATAATTTTTGTCATGTCTGCCACTATAGATAAGCAAAAAAGTCCTCACATAATAATCCTAATTATGTAGCGGCCCATTCAGAGAGCTTTTTTTTGTTTGTTTGTTTTTTGAGACACAGCCTCAAGCTGTCCCCCTGGGTAGAGTGCTGTGGCATCACAGCTCACAGCAACCTCCAACTC